GTCGAAACTATCCTCCGACAAACAAGAACACCGTCATCCGTGCACTCACAGAGGAATGGGATAAATTGCCTCAACAGCTGCTGGATAATGTTGCGCAAAGTATGGTACGACGTGTGGAATGTTGCATCACACTCCACGGTGGACATATCCCGTACTGATACCTTTCTTTAAGGTGCCTGCTGACTTTTAGATGCATTGTTCCCTTTCTCTGTACGCAGATCAAATGAACATTTTTTTTTCTTTCAGATGTTTCACAGCTTTTGTACTTTCCAGAACAATAAATATTCTTTATTCTAATGTCTGAACAGTGTGGCAACTATATTTTATCCTACTAGGTCTCATGTCTCGCTTAATGTTATGCTACATAGCAATTTGTGATCCGTCCTTAGCAATTGTCTAGCAGTGTATTAGTGTAAATGTGTATTTTATTTTTTATAATGCCAGGATGTATTTTGTTTGATTTTACTTTCAGTAAATTAATATATATTTTTTAATAAATAACCTTCTGTTTTCGACTTTTTTATATACTCGTGCCCCCCTCGTAGAGTTGTCGCGCCCTTCAAGGGGGGCTAGTCCCACAGTTTGAGAAACGCTGCCATAACTCATTGAAAATGTATAAAAACGAAGAAACATTGTGTGTGTGTGTTTGATAAAGATTAATATAGTATTAAAAGCCAACAATGAGATTTTAATATTTTGATCACATTTTCCACATTTTAAGTGTCCAATATTGCCTTGATCTTATGGTATGTTTTCCATTAATTCTCATGTTTCTGCTTGCAAGAAACAACTGCCATATGTATACGGCTCCGGCGGGAAAAAAGGTTGAGTACCCCTGGCACAGACACTATTCATTCATTCATGTGCTTAAATATTTCTATATTTAAGCACATAATTATCCTAATCATACTTTTTTTTGTATTTCTCTATACATAATAATTTTACTATACATTGTATAGATGTAATTTTTTTTAACAGAAAGTAGAAAATTTTATCGTGTTTTTTATGTTTCTATTTCTTTCACTTTTTCAAATTTGGAAACTACGAAATATAAGAAAAGTGAAGGATTTTTTTGATGTAATTGAAACGTATATAAGAGCAAATGAATAATTTTCCCCAAGGACTGATACTTTGTTGTATGAAATAATCTACGTTTCTATGAAATAATCTACGTTTTTAATATAAATGAATTTACCTAAGCCAGTGGCTCTCAAAATGTGGGGTGCGCCCCTCTAGGGGGCGTGAAAACCTACAAGGGGGCGCGAGCATATTGAAAAGTCGAAAACACATAGATTATTTAAAAATAATTATTAATTTACTGAAAGTAAACAAATAAAATATACATTCTGACATAATAAAAAATAAAATACACATTTACACTGATACAATACACCTGTAAATATATCAGTACTGCGCAATGTATTTTACAATTAATTTAACAGTACTAAGTTATAAGAATAAGTTTAATAACTACCTGTGACCCCATAGACTTGTCATATATAAAATTAAAAACAAAAGTTAACATTTATCTTGATAATTTATACGGTTTATAATTAATACCTTAACTGCATATTAAAAGTCACGTGATTCGCTCCCCAGTGCCACCGTTTAACACGTAATCCAGGGTATGCGGTGTATCGATGGGGGGGTAGAGAAAAGGAATAAATAAGCAAATCCTCTGAAATAAATAAATCCTTCCAAAAACTGTCAAGTTCTTTTTATTGCATTCCAAAGTCTTCGGAATAGTTTTATGGATAGCAGTGCACAGAAAAAAATCGTACTTCGGAAAGACGCATATATACGTTCAGGCAAATAACGCTTTGGGTGAGAGGGACGTTTATATACGGTGGTGTCAAGTAAGAGGTTGAAGTCGTACTGTAGGTTTAGCTTCAAAGAATAGTGTTATGGAATTAAATACATTGTTATTGTATCGAGGGGGGCGATGAAAATTATGATTGAATATTGGGTCGCAAATATTGAAAGTTTGAGAAGCACTGACCTAAGCTAATGTTATTGCGATGTTTTACTGTTCATGTAAGTGAGTGATTTATTACATTTTTTCACACAAACAAATTATCTATTAAAAAGCATAAAATAACTGCCAAATTATTTTTTAACATGTATAAATGCTTTTATTTTGGCATATGGAAGAGTGTATTACAATAAATGTATTCTGAGCGTTTTTGTTTATTATTACGTATTGGATTGACTCACCTTTCATGACTGATTCATTTTCATGCGGAGAACTCGTATCTGGAGTTGGATCTGGATTCAAGCCTACAAGGCTCTCTCGCTTCAAAGTATGTTCCGCTGGTAAGAAAGCGCTGTTTTCCTCCTTGGTTATATTCATATAAAAGCATATGTCGGACGCTTTCAGAATGTAATTAGGACCTGGATTCAGAAGGATAGGCCAAGTACCTCCCATCTCGGTTTTAACACCTACTAAGGCGACTCCGTACCTATAATAAATAACAAATCAATGAATCAAATTTTTAAAAGTACTTTGAACATTATAAAAAGGGCTGGAATAGAAAGTAGACAATGTTAAGTCTTCAGACGTAATATTCATATACAAATCTAATTTCTTAGTTTTGAACTTTTAAGGTACATAGTTTTAAGGTGTATATACATAGGAGAAAAGTGACTCACATACTCACTAATCATGAGACAACATCTCTGGAACTATTATACTTACAGACCTGAAATTTGGTAGGGATGTTTCTTTTATTGAGTAGAGATCAGGTGAGAACGGATTTTGTCGAGATGGACTCCTAAGCGAGTTGTGAGGGGTTAACGGAAGATGATACATGGCAGAGTCACATGTTCCCGGAATAGGTCAATTACAAGTTATTAAAAAATAGAACGATAACTCAAATTTATTAGACAAAGTACTGTCCTCCTGCATCCATATAACTGCTAATATAAGAATTAATTGATGTCATTACTTTAACCCTTTATCTACCGACTGTATTTATAAGTACCACTCCCTTTTAAATTACGTAGAATTACCATTTTTACGAATACTCTGATTGCAAAAAAAAAACTGCAGTAAATCATAATGCGGTATAGATAAAGGGTTAATTTCATATAAGCTTTGCGCATTAATTAATGTATATTATTTAAGATGCCTTCTATAATGACTTATGACTATTTTGTGATCTTCCATTAGAATTAAAAAATACTTATGTGTATTACTATAACTTTATACAAGCATTTATTCTTCCGATAAATATATCCCTCCATTGCATTTTTACGCAGACGTGGACTTGTAGACGTATATCACCAAAACATATGTATACCTTAATTTTTACTATGTTACTTGAATTATGGGTACTTACTTTCTATGTGAGTGGAAAGACGCCATAGTAAATGGTTTTCCTTCGTATTCTCCGAAAAATCGACTGTCTCCAAGTCGTATGTGGTAAATCTCATTTCCAGAACATTTACCATACAATCGATGCCATTCCTCCCCCGACGTTTGTCCCTCCCTAAAACCAAAAACAGAGATGTATTACTGATACAGAAAATTAGTACATAAGTAGTAGAAACTTAACATAAGAAAGAACTTAAGTATAAGAGAGAAAATTAGAACTTAGAAATAGAACTTGAAGTTATCCGACTACGTTGGGAACAGTGATTTTAAAAAGCACACAAATGGATAATTTTCATGATATTTAGTGTCACTTAGATTAGAATATATGTATAAAATTGTGTTACGGACATTTTGTCAAAAGAATTATTGAAATACAGTATTTTGGCAAAGAATTGACTTAGAATAACCTTTTATTCAAAATGTTCTCGTTTTGTAAAAAAATGCTACTATTATAATAATATTTTGCCTGTATAAAGCTCAGACTTCTGTACAGAGGCTCAACTATGATTTTTGAAAAATTCACATTATTTTCAGAGTTACAAACCATTAAAGTAATTATCGCGGCGTTTTGTTCTTAAAATTTCTCCCCTCTGTTGTCGTAAAACGTGGATAAACCCACTTCTAAGTTATATATTTCAAAAATTCTAGTTGAGCCTCTGTACAGTGGCCTGAGCTTTATTTAGGCAAAATATTATTATAATAGAAGCATTTTTCACAAAAGGAGAATATTTTGAAAATGGGTCAATTTATGTTCATTTTTTGTCAAATATTGTACTTGAATCTTTTTTATTGTAATACTATTCTTAAAACAATTTTATATACATTTTCTAATCTAAATGACAATAAATATCATAAATATTATCCATTTATACGCTTTAGCAAAATCATGGTTCCGAACGTAGTCGGATACCTTAAGTAAATAGTTGAAGTAAATGACCTACACGGTTAGAGAAACCTCTTTTTTTTTTGAAAATGTTAAATAAAACTTAATCTACTATTTTTACTAAGATTCGATGTGGGATGTAGATTTATCATAAAGAGTATACAGATATACTCCTGCGTTGTGTCATGTTTTTGCTTATACCTAGTATACTATGGAAGAAGTTTTAAAGTTTTCATGTTCACAAAGTCATATAATTGAAATGTTTATAATTAGATTTTACAATATTTAGAGCGATTTAAAATAACCATGCCATTCAATTTATTTTGCTAAAACTAAAATTTATATAAAATACCACTAAATTCAACTAAATATTCCCATGCTGTCAAAATAATAAATATAGCAATTATTTCATAGAGATTTTCATTAAAATAATCTGTTACTGTTACGACAAACAAACTTTTAATAAATATTTTATCAATGCTTGGTATATTTTTGAATTCCTACTATTAGTTCACTCTCTCTCTTTCTCTCTCTCTCTGTATATATATATATATATATATATATATATATATATATATATATATATATATATATATATATATATATATATATATATATATATATATCTTCATCAAATTGTCAAACGCATTAATTTATTAATTAATTTATTAATTAAACGAATAAATAGTAACAAACAAAAATAATAGTCCAACAGCATACATAAAAAGGAAAATGTTTCGTTGTGTCCCTGTAGCACAACGGATAGCGCGTTTGACTCCTATTCCAAAGGTCTTGGGCTCGAGCTTCAACTGGGATGGCTTAATTTTTGTGAGAATATGATTTCTTTTTATAATACTATTTTAATAGGGTAATTAAATTTAATGAATGAATAAATAGTAAAAAAACAAATAAAAAATAGATCAAAACTGTATATAGAAACCAAAATGGAAAATTGCTTTTTATTTTGTCGCTTAATATTGTGATTCTGTTATATGTATATAACTTAACTCGGTGGTGCAACAGCGCCTGAGAGTCTAGGCCTACTGTGCCTAACTCAGTATGCACGAGCTTAGGCCCTGAGCAGATGTCTCGATCAGGTGGTCAGTCTGAAGCGAGACCTCCACAGCATTTGTACCCAAGCAAGGTTGGTACTCATTTATCGACCCACTGAAAGGACGAAAGGTTGGTCAACATTGCCCAGCCCGGGTTTTGAACCTCGGACATGTAGTGTGGAAGCGCGATGCACTAACCTCTTAGCCAGTGGGCTTATATGAAAATACATATTTATATTAATTACAACTATTTAGTATAACGTAACTAAAATAAAGTTTTCTTTGTTGACCTAAGTAGAAATTGACTTAAATTCTTTTTTTTGCATTATTCTTATACGCATTCCATTGGTTGATCTAATTTTATCTAAAATATAAAATTTTTAATATTATTAATTTTTTGCTTTAATATTTCCATTATTATTCTTGTTAGTTCTTTCAACAATTTTCTTGTAGTTATTAAAATTGAGAATTTTTTTCAAAACTTGAAGTGTTACATAAAAACAATTCATTCACTTTATGAAGTGACATTATAAGTTTGATTATTTATTTTTCAGAGTAAATACTTGGGTAAAATCCTTTCATATCTGTCTGTAAAATAATTTTATTTCAGATTTTTTAAAACTGGTTTCTGGAACGAGTTTTTACAGAAACCCATGTTATTTAAATCTTCCGATTCAAGCACATTTCGAAACTAATTATGGTAAACTAATATTTTGAATTCTATGAAAGTCTTTTGCCATAGTTTGATTTAAAAATTTAAAAGGACAAACTAATAAGTTACGAATTAGTTACCTTCAAGTGAACGATATTTTGCGAGCATTTACTCATTTTGAGTTACATATACGTAATGAATTTTTTTTTAAATTAAAGGCGTAATAGGATTGAAATTCATACTTTGATGAAATAAATCTTAATAAAAGTGCACATTCGATGAAGGTTTTTGAAAATCAATCTAAAACTAATTAATAAATACCCGCCAATATTTATGCACATTGATGTTGAGAATAAGAAGTTTTTTTCTTTCCTTTGATACACTCATGGACGAAAAAATTAGCGCGCCAAGAAATAATTACGGGATTGTAACGAAACTTGACATGAAGGCGCATGTCAGGGACATATGTAAATGAATAGAAATGCAGCGTGATTGTGCATTACGTATAGCCGGTAGGGGGTGTTTAACATCGTACTCCATGGAGTATAAAACAGGTAACCCAAGCTTGTTTGAGTGTGCTGAATCGTTTACAAAGCAAGAGCTGATGTAGACATGACATTACGCCGTTTTCGAAGACAATATGAATAGCTGTCCAAGTTTGAGAGGGGCAGAATCATCGGCATCATGGAAGGTGGGTGGTCAGCTAGGCAAGTAGCTCGTCAATTAGGCCGCTCTGATTGTGTTGTGAGAAGGTGTTGTGACCAGTGGATCCGAGAGACGTCATTTACACGAAGACCAGGCCCAGGACGCCCTCGACAGACCAGTGGTCGAGAAAACCGCTACATCGTAAGAAATGCAAGCGTACAGCGTACTGCTTCATCGGCCGCCATCCAGGCACAGGTAGCACCTTCACTAGGGGCGCCTGCGTCTTCTCGAACCATACGAAGGCTCCTAGCTAAAGGACATTTGGGATCGCGGCACCCATTACGTGTGCTGCTCTTGACGCCCACCCATCCATGCCTCCGTTTGGATTGATTCCGCGCACGAGGAAACTGGACTGCAGCGGAATGGAACCAGGTCGTCTTTCGCGACGAATACAGATTGAATCTCAACAGTGATGACAATCGTGTTCGTCTGTAGAGCCCCGTGGTGAACGCCTCAATCCTGTCTTTGCTTTACAGCGATACACCGCTCCCACAGCTGATGTGATGGTATGGGCTGCCATTGTTTACAATACAGTCACCCCTGGTATTGATCCGTTGCACTATGACAGCCCAACGGTATGTCCATGACATCCTTCAAATACATGTGTTTCCACTCAGTCAATGGCTCCCAGGAACCATTTTTCAACAGGACAATGCTCGGCTTCACACGGCAAGGGTGCCACAAGACTGTTTCTGTACTGTTACAACCCTTCCTTGGCCTGCCCGATCCCCAGATTTGTCTCCAATCGAGCACATCTGGGATCATTTGGGACGGCGAGTTGGGTATTTTACGAGTTTGAACGAACTAAAGGCAAGATTACAGCAAATAGGGGACGAAATGTCTCAAGACATCATACAGAACTTGTATGCCTCAATGCCCGATCTTATCGCATCGTGCATTCGCGCTAGAGGGGTTGAACAGAGTATTAATTTCTCCGTTCCTTTGCCTTTTTCTCTGAAATAAATGATCCTTTTTCTTTGATTTTCTAATCATCTATTTATATCAAAGTAGTTATTGCGTATGAAAAATTTCGTTTCATTTTAACTACTTCTTCTTGGTGCGCTAAGTTTTTTTCCATGAGTGCATTATCACTAATATTTGACATGTTATAATGAAATTAGCGATGTAAATATGTTGATGTAATATTAAAATATACAATACAGTATATGTGTATGATCGTATGCAGGGCTCATTAGCTCAAGTAAGTTTAAAAAAGAGTTTACAAGAGAAAACCAAAAATTATATTGACTAATAGAGAGATCATGGTCCTCTTTTACAGTTACACAGATTTCACAACATAAATTCACACAAGAAATGAGATTGTTTACGAGTATCTGGGGGCATTGGAAGTCAATTCAGTTCACCATCAATGCTGTTTTCATGTGCTGTACATTTATGAAGGGCAGAAAAATTGTAATTAACTTTTGAAGAATGTTCCGATAAGCTTCTCAAAGTTAAGTTCTAAAAATCTGTATAACCAATCCACCTGACTACTATCCTTATTTTTCAGAAATTCATTGGTCAGATGAATTCTATGAGGATGAGTGTTATTATATATAAAACTAGAATCTAGGCCAGTTTAATTTTTGAAAAGGTGAGCATAGGGTTACAAAACTACATTCTTATACCTCACACAGCCTTTGTCTGTGAACTCATTCAGATTTATTAGAACCCATTAAACTATTAAAGCTATGATACCATGTGGTATCTTTCTTGAATATTGTTGGGAGCCTTAATTTTTTCATGATGATATGTCGAGATTTAATCGTTGGGTTGAATCTATATTCATCAGAGATTAGAAAAGTTTCCCAGTGAGCCCTACACTAATGTCGCAGTTCTCAGTATCATACTAAATAAGCAGATATATGCACAGATATGAGTGGACCTAAAATGAACAGGTCATCTTAAAAACAGACCTGGACTTGTTTTTTTTAAATCTATTTATTTATTTATTTATTATTATTTAGCCGTACCACTTTATATGACATCATTCGTCAGAGTGAAACCACTCTACACAAATATACACGGAGAAGCACAATCACGTAAGAATAAAATATGAACTATAATAATTAAAAAATAAATCAGTCACATAGAAGGGTCTATAACTTTTCTGTAGCCTACCAGTATCTATTATAAAGGCTTCCAAGGACCCTTGGACTTAATCGAAGATGTTAATTGACCATAACTTGATCACTTTTGCAGAAGACACTAGTTGGGAAAGAAAGCATTCCGAGTCCAAGTAACCAGCAAAACAGTAATAGTAATGATCGGTTTCAAACCTGAAAGAAGCAAGTATGCCGTCTTCGAAACTTTGGTACATTTTGGAGAATTTCTCTCCAAGTTTTATCTTTTATTTATTTAAAAAGCTTAATGTTATAGCTTTTATTCAAAGTATTTATTATTATTTCTTTTCATTGAAGATTAAGGGATATCTCTCTCTGAGAAAACTACAATATATTTGTTCCTATTTTTGCTGGAATTTCTCATGTAGCTTTTAGGAAACAATAATACTTGAAACAGAGTCATTTTGCCACTTTATGTTCACTTAAGTTGAAAACGCCTAGCTGTAATGTACAAATATCAATTTTCCTCGGTTCTTAAATGATTTCGTTAAGATTTTCTCTTTGTGGTACTGCTCAATTTAAATTGTGTCTCCGTAAATTGCACACAATGATAGACACTACTCAAAATCACTTCCAATCTGCAATTGTTTCAACTGTGGCAAGTTTCCTAAAGGTTCATCACATCAGTTCAATATCCAACGTTGCTAGATATTTATTTTATTTGTTTGCTTTTGGACTTTCATCGAATTTATCCACAAAAGCCACTGATGAGTATAAGCAACGGAGTGCGGAAATTTACGGTACCTTTACAAAGCCCTTTCTTCTGAATGTCAAGTCAGTGTCTGCTTTCATTGTGCGACTTGTTTCTTGAATGGAAATACTACATTCACTTTCTGTCCAATACTTTTCGATAAATTTGACTATTTACCCAAATTTTCTTAATTTGAATACCGGTGTACATTTTCTTAAAGTTTAATACATCTGTAAAAAATATTTCATTAGCGTGTGTATACTGTTGAGTCTTTATCCGTTTAGCATATTTTCTTGAAAATAAAATAAATAAGTTTCTAAATTTTTTTTTATATATATATTTCACTTTATTCTTGACGCATAATTCTTTAATGATAAAGGAAGAACAAGAACAAAGACAATGCCTTTTATATAAGAATAAAAGCTTATTTTAAATGTCTTTAATAAGAACGAAACATTTTTTAATACTCCTTATTACGAGTGAAAAATAACCTTTTGATTAGATGCTTTTTATGAGAGCAAAGTATTTAAAAAGTACTGAAATGTAAATAGATATTTTTAAAAAAGAATTAAATATACGTTTCTTTTAATCCGA